AATAATAAAAAATAAAAATATTTTAAAAAATACACTTATTTGTTTTTAAACATGTCCTTATTAATCATTTAATGTTAAACAACAACCATTAACTATTGTATAACCAAACAATTATATTTATTGAATTCGTTATTTTTCATCCGCTACTCACTTTCCGCTATCCGCCATCTGCTATCCGCTAATCGCCACCCATTACCCGCTACCCGCTACTGCTATCCACTATCCGCTACCCGCTGAATTTTGACTGGGGAAAATTGCCATCCCTGTTTTTGAGGTTTTGTTTTGGGTGCCGCTGTTGGGACGCCCCTGTACCTTTTCCTTTGTGTAAATATATTTTTATTTTTTATTATTAAATCATTAACTTCTTAGTTTTATATTTTAATTTTAATTAGTTTGTAAATTGAAAAGATACCTAAATATTGATTTTTTTTTTTTTGTAATTTTAGTTATATAATAAGAAGCAATTATCTTTCATTTCTTACACTACTTCACCCGTATATCATACGACTTGAATTTTCAGAATCTCTTATTTTTAGTGAAAATAAATTATTATTGAGTTATTTTGGTCGTTAATAAATCTTGACACATTAAACAATAATCTTTTAAACTCAAAAAATCTACTTCCTTAGTTCAATTTTAATAAGGTAGTGATATATAGATAACTTTTTTATATTATTATTTAATATAATTTTCATATACTATTAAATGAGTCAATACATTTAATATTATGGATACCAAATGAATAAACAAAATCAATCATTTAAATAATATGTAAGATTATATAAAAAAATAATACAGAAAGATTATTCCTAAATCATTTTCTATTTTAATAAGTTTATTTTTTTAATAAAATAAAGATATCATAATTAATGAATAAAATTTTATATCTATTTCTACTAAATCACTACTAAAATAGATTTATTTATTTAATATATATTGTAATTATTTTTTGAAATATAGGAAAAATAGGAATAAGTGCATTAAATGACATTTTTTAAAAAAAGTAGACAAATAGATTTGAATACTCTAAATTAGAAATTAACTCTATTAAAATTGAAGTGAGGGATTAATCCCTAACACAAAAATTTAAAACCTAAACCTAACAAATCTAAACTCACACGATAAACACTTAATTCTAAAAAAATTTAAACTCTAACATCCTAAATACTTAATAATAATAAAAATAAACCCTAACACCATTAGTATGAATAAAAGAAATCTAAATCCCAGCACCCTAGTTATTAAACACTAAAAAATATAAACCTTAACACCCAAAATATTGAATCCAAAAAATCTAAACCTTAACTCTAAAATTCTAAAATTTAGAAATTCTAAACCCTAGCAAAAATAGAAATTCAAATACCTTAATTGTTGAACTCTAAAAGTATAAACACAAACACCTAAATATTGAACCTGTAAAACTTAATACTCTAAACACTAGACCATAACAGTGTTATTTTAAAATTTGGATTGGATTGGTCAGTTTGATTGGTTGAATCAAAATTAGTTATAAAAATGATTTGAGTCATAACATAAATCTGGTGTGTGGTGAGATCTAGTTAAAATGAATCAAATTTAGTCAAAACTCCAAAGAAACGGTCAAACTAGTTAGCTTTTGAAACAGTGAACTGTCTAATTCACAAATTTTGAATATCTTTCAACAAGTTTGTGCACAAGAGGATTCGAACCTACTCTCTCACCACACATTTTAGGGTTTTCACCACTGGACACCAACACAATTATTCTCATCTATAGATAAAGTTTTATTTATTAAAATAAAATAAAATAAAATAACTTGGTTAAAGTTAAGAGTGCATTTATGTAATTTTTAATAATTAATTATTTTCTAAGTCAATATCATATTGATGATTTTAATTGTATATTTCATAAATGAAATTTTTTAATATGTATCCTTAGGGTATAAGTAAAATTTTATTGAATATAGTATCTTTAATTAATTTTATACAAACCTTTATACCAAATTCAATTAAAATAAAATATGAGATGTAAAATTGAAATATAATATAATATTTATACTCAAAATCTATAAAAATTTAAGAATTTAATATAAAAAATTATGTAAAATTAATTAAAATTCTAAATTTAATGAAGTTTAACCTATGCCCTTAGGGGATTGGTTAAACAAACTCCTAATAAATTAAAATTAATCTTGTGAATATATTAGATTTTTTATCCAAAGTTAAATGACATGTGAATGTTTTAGTTAAACAATAGAAAAAGGTTGATTCTTATGTAATCTAATTTTCTTATTAGTTTTTTAAAGGTTTAAAGCCAATTGTCGTCCCTCTACTTTAATATTTTATTCGTTCTTGTCCCTTTACTAAGGACATGTTCGTTGTCGTCCCTCTACTCTACCAAAGAGCCAAAACGTCGTCCCTCTACTTTGCTTTTTTTGTTCCGTTGTTGTCGTCCCTCCCCTAACACCGTTCATGTTGCCATCATTGCTGATTGTTAAGTCCTAAACGGTCAGCAGTTAAACCCATTTATTCTATTTTTTTTTCCATATATGCTGCCACATGTGATGCCACTTGTGCAAGAATAATAGGGACCACTTTGCCTAGTTGCTTTCAATTTTTTTTTTCGTTGCCTAGCTGTGACAACCAAGAAGTCTAAAACAAGATAAATTCTGAACCTATGGCTTATCTTGGAAAGATGAAAACGTAGATGAATATGTTCGTCTACAAATATCAAAACATTAGATTCTCTTTCTAGGAGCTTTGCATAATCTTCAAAGTGAATAACTTGCAAGTTACAGATTAAATGAAACAAAATGCTGGCAGTTAGACTTATGGTACTCACATAAGTCCAGGATAGAACCAAAGTGAATAAAATAGCAACAGAGAGCCATCAAGATTCACGCTGCACATATAAAATTCGTATGATTTCACGTGCAGTCTTCAAAATCAAACATGGCAATAACCACAATACGAACAGGCACATTGACTCCTGTAAAAGTATCAATTCTCTTACTGTTTGGTTAGAGGTCCAGAAATGTGACATTAAAGCTCAACAGCTAAGAAGAGTAGTAGAATATTGGAGAAACCAAAATCCAGCAGAGAGACAAAGATACTGTCAAAGTGATGCACTTATGCTATGATTAAGTGAAATCCTACAGAGACAACCATATACACATATACAAGCATTAGAACCCAAACGCCATTATTTCACAAGAGTTTAACCATTATTACTTGGAAATGGTATTTCTAGCTAATATTAGGCCTTTCAACGTGCGCTTCAAATTAATTCTTACCAATATTGCCTATACAAGCAAATATTCCTGAGGACCATATATATCTCTCACCTGTCTCCTCTAAAGCTTAGTTTTTAGGAAATGGGAAATGAAAATGCCGTATGGCAATTTCGACATTATAAACAAGAAGTTGATTTATGATAATTGAGAGAATTAGATTAGCTTCCTTCCACACCTCAATAGTGAAGAACAAGAAAACATTGCAATTACAGTAAAGCACATAATCAATCACTACTTCTGTATATTACTAACTTCCAAAGCACAAATTTTATTCACAAAATTCGAGACTTTAATTGAGTAATTAGTTCTCTAATTATGAAATTTATCTAGAACCCAACTAATTGCAATTCAAAACAAATTTACTGTTACTCTAATTAAGCAAATGAAGAAAATTACCTTAATCTGCTTTATGTATAGGTCGTTAAGCGAAGCCACATGGCCACAGGATCGATCAACAAATAGAAACTTCCTTATGCCATATTTTCTTAGATTATGCGACAGGCAGAGCAGGGAAATGGCAGCCAAACACATCTAAGAAGCGACAATGTCGAGCTCAAAATTTGCAATCTAATACTTCTCGCAACAGGAGCACTGAGAAAACTCCAGCATTAGAACCGGAAGCAAAACCTCGACCACCACAAAATCCGCCCAAGACAGCAAAAAACTCAACGCTGAAGACTGTTTGAATCCGAAAAACGTCAGAAACTTCTCGAGCCGATCCAGCACCCGGTCAAGATCAGTGCCCTGGTTTTCCTGGTAGTTGTTTGATTTGAGGAGCAGAACTTGGACAGCAGGAGCCTGGGGCGATAAATGAGGATCCGCCATGAGGAAGATCGGATGAAGATGATTCCCCGGTGGTGATGAAAGAGGCGCCCATCGACTAAGTGTGTGGCGTTTTCAGGCCGCCGAAGCCGGAGGGAGTAGGATTGGAAATGGGTGTGTGGATTTTTTGTTGGCATCCCGCATCCCGACAAGGAAAAAAAAATTGAAAGCAACTGGGAAGTGGTCCCTATTATTCTTGCACAGGTGGCATCACATGTGGCAGCATATGTTGAAAAAAAAAACAAGAACAAATGGGTTTAACTGCTGACCGTTTAGGACTTAACGGTCAGCAGTGATAGCAACATGAACGGTGTTAGGGGAGGGACGACAACGAACAAAAAAAGCGAAGTAGAGGGACGACGTTTTGGCTCTTTGGTGGAGTAGAGGGACGACAACGAACATGTCCTAAGTAGAGGGACAAGAATGAATAAAATATTAAAGTAGAGGGACAACAATTGGCTTTAAGTCTTTTTTAAAAGACATTTGATCATTGGTCACAAAGCAAACTCTCTTCTAAGTTCCAACCAAAATAAAACTAGGGATGGCAATTTCCTTCGCGACCCGCGGAGTTTCGCAGATATCCTTACCACAAGGATGGAGATTTCAAGAATTTTCTTTCCTATGGGGTAGGGATGGAGGCATTTTTTTTCTCGTGAAATTTCGTGGGAATTTTCTCCGCCTCATGGAGAACCGTGAACGTCCATATAAAATTAAAAAAAATTTTATTTTTATATATTTTTAAATATATTAACAATTAATTTTTACTTACTCAACCTAATTAATTGACCAATTCTTTTTTTTTTTTTTAGTTTTTCCAAACCCAATTATATAGTCCAGTCCAGCCCATAATCTTCTTAAATTTAATTGCCCAATCCCAACTCAATTTGCTAGTAACCCTAGAACTAGAAGGACTATTTCAAATTTCTGAGATTTGCGAATCTGCTTTGCGATTCCTCCTCTCCAGATTCCAATCTCCTCCCCTCTACGCTATAGCTCACTGGCTTTGTTTCTGTTCTTCAATCGGTCAATTCCCTTCAACCTATCATTCTTGGCAACCTTTGAAAAGTAGTGCCCAGCTACTTGCAACTTGCCTGGATCTGAGTTGTGAGTATTTGTGAGTATCTGAGTATCTGTGCTTGATGATTTATTTTGAGGTGAAGCAGATCTCATTCTTTTGGCCTTATTATTTTCGATTTCATTTTCCCTCGATTGTTCGCAAGATTGTTAGAATGCGATTTTCATTGTTTACATGCCTATGCAGCTTCTTTCTTGCATTCGCAACGAACGATAATCGTATTGTTATTTTGAGACTCATTCAAGCTCTTAATTCGTTCTATTTTTAGTTAGTTTCTCAAACGAGAAACGAGCATCGAGTTTTATTTGGTTGGGACTCTGAATATCTGCGGGGACCTATCATTTCCTGCAGGTATGGAGACGGAGGCTATTTTTGATCTGCCGTCAAAAATCCTCGTAGGGATCCCCGTACCCGTCATTAACGGGGATGGGGATGGGGAGGGGGTCCCCACCCCCATGCGGACCCGTTGCCATCCCTAGATAAAACTTCTTTTTTTATTAGCCAAATGAATTTTATTAATTGAGGATTCAAAAGGTACTTCAACTCTTACAATAATTAATTCACTTAATTTTATAATATATGAATTAGACACTATCTCAAAGGAGTGATTCAATTAGTTAAAAATATAAAATTTTAAGTTAAAAATTTTATATTTGAACCTTAAATTAAGTGAATAGTGATTTAAGAAATGAGAGTATTGAGTATTCTATTTTTATATAACTTATTATCAAATGTGAAAAGAAAAAAGAAAAAAAAAAGAAATTAGACACTATATCAACAGCACAAATTAGGATTATTGCATCAATCATATAGAGAAAAGAACCACCAAAAGTAATCCCCTTCAACCAGAGAAATGATCTTACCTGAACTGATTCAAAAACCTCCACTGACACCTCTACACCTCTACAACTCTACACTTCTACACCTCTGAATATGAAATTGTTTCTAGATGACCACAAGGAATGAATGATGTGTATAAACAAAAATGCCCAAACGTCTCTCATTTTCAAACTCAGCATACCAAAGGCAAACATGTGTTAACAGACTACATCTTGACAACCAAAACCAAAAATAATAATAATAATAATAACTGTTTTATTTCTTATCATGAATTTAAAATTTGGAGTTATGAAGTTATAAAAAAGTGTTTTGCAAATCTTTTTTTTTTAATTTTTAGAGAATTTATCTAAAAAGTTATTTTTTAATTAATATTTTGAAAAACTAACTTTGGATTAGATGTTCTAGTCATATATATTAGGCATGTCAATTTTTATATTGTTCTAGTTGACCTAACCACTTCATTAATTATACAAAATTTAATATTATTACATATATATTAGTAAATAAAGTCTTCTTATCAAAAGAGTTATAAGTGTTAGATTAATATGAAAATTAACATGTTTAATTGACATGAATAAAAACTTTAATCCAATAATTTGTTCTTGAAAATATTAATTAGATAATAAAATTTTAAATAAATCTTCCAAAAAAATTTTAGAAAGATGATCTACCCTATACAAACCTTGGAAGTCATACATTGCAAAGCATTTTTTCTGTTTTTACTTAAAAAAAAAAAGAAAAAGAAATATACTTGAATCATTACTCGATTTAATTAAATAAATACATGTACAGATGAGTACATGTTGATGGTAATAGATAAACTAAAAAAAATTATTTTCAGAAAACTGGTTAATAACTAGTGTAGATCATTATTTTGAAGCTCTTCGGGATTATGACACGCAAATTCTTTTTCTAGTCACTAACTATGAAATGTTTAGGTCGACCTGACACCCTTCAAGGAAATTGAAAAGTACTGCCAGCGACACCATCAGCTTGTGCTGCCCCTCCTGTGGGCGGATTAATGGCGACCCAGAGCAAGGAGAGTATGATTGCGATGAGACCTGACCAAACAAACACAATTGTTGGTGTCTTCCCTCGCCTACCCATCAAACCCTTGGCAAATGGGTACAAATGAGCCAAGACCCAAAAGCTAAAGAAAGCACCACCGATGAATTTACTCCATTGTGGCACTGAGCTGTAGATCGTCCTCGCTAGTGCGATAACCATGGCAATAATATTCACCATGGCAATGACGATGGGTGGAATCATCAACGAAGTCCACTTAACAAGGTATAGATCCGCATATATATCATCATTATCTTCCCCAGATGATTTTGAAGTTAATGTGAAGGAAATTTCAATTCCAGCCATTACTTTCAGGAGGCCTTGTAACACAGCAGCTAAATGGGAACTGGTTCCAGAGATGAGCCAAAATTGTTCGTTCCTCCACCACTCCTCTAGTCCAATACCCGACCACTTCACCTCCAGTATCGCGAGCAAGATGAGGCAAATTGTTATGATGAACAGGTAAATCAGAAAGGTAACATTAAGATTTCGCACGATGAATTGGCCGGATATAAGGGATAGCGCAGGGAGGAAACAATAGACCAGGAGGAAGATGGATGTAAATGGGTAGACACCGACGTTGATATAAGCGAGGCGTTGGAGTATCTTAAGTTTTCTGGTGGCCAGGAATGCGTTGTTTTGGGAGAAGAAAATTTCAACTGACCCTGTAGCCCACCGTAACACTTGATGAAGCCTGTCCGTGAGGTTAATTGGAGCTGACCCATGAAAGGCATCACGCTTGGTGATGCAATAAATGGAGTGCCAACCACGATTGTGCATTCTGTAACCTGTCACCACATCCTCCGTTACCGACCCATAAATCCAACCAACTCGTTCTCCCCACTCTGTTTTGTCCTCATACCTACCATGGGAAACAAAGAATTAAGCAGTTTCTTTCTTGGAAAATTTGAAGATTAAAAGAAGGGCGTACCAGCAAGAAATAACAGAGACAGCTTCAGCAACACTAGCCGCGTCTAATGGCTCACGGGGAATTCTGAGAGCACCAGGAGGTCGGCCAAATTTAACTGCAGGATGATCAGCAAGAGGGCGGCCTTGAAATTCTGCAACAGGAATGGATTCCGCTAGCATTGTAGAATTTCCAAACCTTTTGGGAAGGAGATTCACATCAAGATCGGGATCAAAATCACTTGTTGTTAATGGTTGTGTTTCGCCTTGATCATTTTTTTTATCATACTTTTCGGGGTTTGGTGGGTCGAATCCATATAGGGCAAACCTCCTGAACATACAACCGGTTCCCACATAAACAGGACCCTACAGAGGCAACAAATGGTTAATTCATCGTCTTGTTTTGAGATTAATTAGTAAAAGGAGGTTATGGTTGAATTGAAGTTAACAGAATTAATACCTGAATACCATCAAGGGCACGCATGTTACCATCAAAGAACACGGTATTGTGATTAGCATATCGATCAGAAGGATCAATGCCTTCGAATCTTTGTGGGAACTGAATGTAGCAAATGTTTTCGCCACCACGATCCATCATAAAGCACATTCCTTCCCGAATGGCTTTGCAGTTGTAGATGTAGTGATCGCAGTCGAGGTTGAGGATGAATGGGCCATTAGACAAAATGGCTGAGCATCGTACCAAGGCGTTCATAGCACCGGCTTTCTTGTTGTGATCATACCCCGGGCGCTTCTCTCGAGACATATATACAAACATTGGGAGTCGTATGTCTACATCAGAGAAGTCTATGATCTTATCTTCAGCATTTCCCATTAGTGGGTCATGGCTTGGTGGCTTTAGCATCACCTACTTTTTTTGAGTTAATTGCCACAACATTTGACAATTTCACTTGGTTAGTATATATAATTTTCATGTTACTAGTACTAAACTATTACTTGTACTCCTAATCAAACAAATGATATAGTTATTCTTCATACTTGTCTAAGACATGAACTGGTTAATTTTAAAGGCAATTCAGTTAGGCCTTAACAAATTTCAACTCAATTAATTGACTCCATCTTTCAAGAAAAAAGGAACAAAAAAAAAAAAAAAAAAAAACAACACTTTGAAAG